ATCAATAATATAACACAAATTCCCATTTCTCATAATTCACATTTCACAAATTAACAAAAACTGGAAAAAAAATGAATAAAAACCGAAAATGTAAATGTAAATATGAAATACAGTGTGCATAATGCCAAAAATAGGAAATACTGAAAGTTAAGTGACTGTGAAATACGGCTGCAGAAAAAGAAAGGAGAAGCAGGGGCTACGTACCGGGCTAGAAGAGACGAAGGTCGAAGTTGGAACCGGAAGCTCCACAGCCTCTACTCCACTCAAGCCCAAAAACTCACAAGTCAGAGCTCCACTGCCACCGGACCACCGCCTGCGTAAAAAACCCCAAGCTGCGGTCAAGCCCCAAAATAATTTCGCACCCCTGTCTCGTCGCGTCGTCTCCAAGAGAACCACGACTCCAAGTCTCCAACTCTCCTCACAACCGGACCAAAGCAAAAGAATGGGATTGGGAATTTGGAATATTGGATTTGGTATTTTGGTTAATTGGTTAATGGTTTTGTTGTGGCTATTAGGTTGGGCTCATTAATTGGGCTTTTTTAAAGAAGGCCCAATAAAACAAGTCTGCTTCCTTCTTCTGTTCGGTCCAGCACTCCTCCTCCTTCTTCATCCTCATTCTGTTCTTCTTGCAGTCGGCGGACGCATGGGCGAATTCTGAAACTTTCGGCGGACCCAGCACGGGCGGCCGCGGGGGCTGGCCAGGTGCTGGATCCGCCCCTGAACGTGGCATGGATTGCCATAATTGGAGGACTAATCCGTGATCGGCCTAATGTGAATATTGAAAACCGAAATATTAATTGTACTGGGGGGTTGACAACCCCCCTACTGCTGTGAGAGGCCGGTCAGTGGGGTTGTCAACCCCCCAGTAACTATAGCATAATTAGATTGAAAATATGTGTCAGGGCCTGTTTGGGAGCAATTATCAGCAAATTTTCAGCAATTTTCAGATCGTTGCACACCATGGCCAGCCGAATTCTTTGACTTTTTATCTCATGATAGGACCCACGAGCTGGAAAAAAAGGCTAGAAAATCAATTATTTGGATGAAAATAGCTATCCCGGACATGTTCTCAATAAAATAGAATTCATGACTCTATAACTATATGTGAATATCCTTTAACATTTTTGGGAACTTTGATAAATCAGCACGATTAGTGATGTATGATATAGAAAATTTATGATTTGATGACAATTAAACTATTCAATTAAAGAAATCTGATGAGCAAGAAGATAATTGGGACAACAAATTTAGTGTTCATCCACCTCCAATTACGAATATTTCAATGGAGATAGGCTATTTTGGATTGTCGATATTAGCACCTAACCATTCTCAGTAATAATTTGTGTACTAGCTTCTCTATATACTGGAGGATTTGCTTAATCTAATCTTTGTATTGGTAACTGATATTACAGGAACCCGACCTCGATGATTGGGCCCGACCTGGGTCCATCCTCGTCTGCCCCAAAAATGACCTTGGTCTAGGTCGAGCTCGAGGTCGAGTAATA